CTCTCTCTCTCTCTCTCTCTCTCTCTCTCTCTCTCTCTCTCTCTCTCTCTCTCCCTCTTTAGACAGATGCGAATATATCTAGACGTGTTAAAATCGAATATTTTCTCTATTATTATATGCATCTAATGTGTTTTCTTAATAACAATTGCATATGATGTTTACCTTATGTAATAATGTTTTACACTTAAAGTGGTGTCTACATTTTTAAAGCAGATTTTAAAGCATAAAACTTAAGCGTCTCAAAAAATTAAAAAATTGACCAATCACAGTTGAATGCGAAAAGAATAATCGACTATGATTGCTTAATTTTTTAGAATAAGAAAAATATTTGATTGAATTAACTGAAATTCTGGGAAATGAATAATTCAGAATTCTGGTTAAGTTTATCAGATTTCCAACTAAATCAACTAGAATTCTAGTAGATTTAATCGGAATTCTGGATCGTTCATTGTCCATCAGAATTCCAGTTCATTCAATGAAACATTTTCTCTGCTTAAAGCTTAAAGTTTTACGCCTTAAACTGTCAATGTAATTGTCGCTTTAGAGAACGTAATCAATCTACTAAATAACGATTTTCTCTTCTCTCCCCCTCCCTCTCTCTCTCTCTCTTTCTCTCCCTAAATTCGAAATTGAGAAACGGACAAACAAGATTGATTAGACTGCAATCAAGATTAATTAATGGCATATTACGGTTAACAGCGTAGTAAAACCGAAGCAATCAGGCAGAGCAGATCGTAAAGCAAGTGGAAACGGCGCGCGTTACTGTTCTCCAGTCTCAAGATTATCGATTATCGGATCGAATCGTCTCACCTGATTGACTGTCGGTGGCAGAACAGTTCCATCGACGAAAGGTGCAAATCCGGAAGTAAATCTTGGCGGATCCAGCTGCACCGCCAGTAGCTCCTCCACGCTCTTTAAACGAAGGCACGGTGCGATATCGTCGGCCTCAACGTCACCAGGATCACATTTGATCTTCTCGGCGACGCGACGCTTCACCATCAGCGGATCTCGCTGCACCGCCCACGGCGAGAGGGCCGAACCACCGAGCAGAATCACCCTCCCGATCAGCTCTAAAATATTCGTTGGAAACTCTCGCTAATTAAGTTAATAACTCTCGCAATACAGTGAATAAAATGCGAGGAATGTTCTATAAATCTTTAATTACTATACAGACAGTAATATATATACATTGATGTTTTATTATTTGAAAATCCAATATTTCGCAAACAGGAAACCAGTCTCTTATTATTTTATATATATAAAAGCTGTATATAAAAGCTTCTCCAATTTCAATGTTATTCAAGCCCTTTCTTTTTATTGGAGAATAGAACTTAGACACGATTATACTTGCGCGAGATCGATAAATCAGTTTCAATTAGCGTGTCTCTCTCTCTATAGACAGTTATACCGACATCAATCAGCGTTAAACGTGATTAAATCAATTTCCTTTGTAAGCAACTATAATTTACAACAGAACTGCAGTTCAATTAATATACTACAATTTCATTTATCATACGAATAAGCGGAAAGAAAGTTTGCAATTGTTCCTTAGAAGCGCGACATAAAATAAATAATACAATACAAATAATTAAAAATCGTATTTCTCCGAACCGATAAATAAATAAAACGTTCCGTGTGGACGTTGTAAAAAAAAAAAAAAGATTAAAGTAAACAAATTCACAGCGTAGCAGCTAGTAGCTCGCTTTTCTATACAAAATGGATATACCGCGTCAGCGGTAAATACAACCGACAGCACGTTGCAACCAGCCCGAGTTGACTGACAACACTGCAGTGTGCGCAACCGATTGGCCATACAAGCCGCGAAACAATTAAACTCCTTACCTTTCGCCATAGGAGAGACGGCTAAAAAATTGGCGAGAGCCGCCCCGGTGCCGTGGCCCAGCAACGCCAGTCGTTCAGGATCGCCACCGAAAGCTCCGAGATTTTCGCGCAGCCAATGAAGTCCCGCCACCAGATCCATCAATCCATAATTGCCCTGCGCGCTCCCTTTCGAGCCGGTTTTCAGGAAGCCTGTAATTTCAACGTGTTACTCGAATTAGGAAATCGGCTCGTCCGGGAACGGAGCGACGGAGGATGTTCGAGTATTCGACGCCGCTAATTCCTGAGAGTTTCCACGAAGATACAAGCGGAACATCTCGCGAAACATCGTACTCTTGTTATTCCGGAGGACGAAAAGTGGAAAAGTCGCCGAGAAAGAGAGAACTTGGTTGGAGGATCCATTCAGACATTTCCGGCTGTCTCCTCCCTGTTTCGAGGAGGCTTCTTCCTACACTTCTACCATCCCTTTTACGCGCAACTCTCTCTCTCTCTCTCTCTCTCTCTCTCTCTCTCTCTCTCTCTCTCTCTCTCTCTCGGCGATCAAAAAAACTCTGTTATGTTAATCACAAACTTTCGCTAAACTCGGGTACGCTCACTTTTAGTATCTGCTTTAACAGGAAAGGATTGTCTAAGTTAATTAATTATTGCTAAATTAGTTATCGTTGCGGAGACGAAAGTCGGGATATACTCTCACACGTGCGTATATGTGTATACAGACATACAGCTATTGTAACGGCGAGCTATATACTCGGAGAATAAACCGGATTAAAATTAAATATTTGCTCGCCGGTACTCAATCCCGCTCGCTTCAATTTGCTACCGACTCACCTACGGGCTTGTCACTTTGCTTCGCTATCTGCCTGCAAGGTGAGTTTTCCATTTCAATCCGATTCACCTTTTAATTACATTTCACATATCTATCCCACTGTATTGGTACCAAGTTTTAATTACGCTTGTATTTAGCACCAGAAAAATATCATAGATTAATGACTCGAATAAACGTTTTCGCTGCTATTCATAGAAAAAAGATTTTTTTTTTTTGTTTTGCATAAAATACGCAAATGTTTTTAATTATTATATATTTGTTCATTTTTACTTTTGTCCGTTGAGTTTTTTTTTATTTGTTCTACAGAGAGCGCAGCAATTTGCGAAACGTTGCCCTGTACATGACAGACGATATATTTAATATTAATTTAACGTAATACGATTCGATCGGAAATTTATTTATGTCTTAAGTGGCGTGAAACCCGTAAATGGTGCGAAACGGCGAAAAAGCACGAGTAATAAGTGGAATAACAAGAAAAAAGACGGAAGAAAATGGAATCGGTTGGCCATGCGGTATTGGATAACGCCGCAGGCATTGTTTCGCTTCAACGATGAACAAAACGCGTACGGAACTGCAGGCTACCGACAAAGAGAAGCGCGAAACCAACCCCGGTATGGTGAAAATACAGCGTATCGATATCGAAAATTGTTCCACTCACTGCCCCCGGGCTTCTTTCATGAATGAGGGATACGGTGTTGTAAACACGCTTGCATACCTTCCGAATAATACGTATGTTTATCGCTTTTGCTCCGCGATTAGGTGCATTCGTACCTCTCAATATCGCAGCTGCAAATAGAGCCAAAAAATAAATACAGATTACAACATTGTGGGTGGTACATTCCCACGATAATAAAGTGCGGTACGAAAACCGTGGAAACGCGCATACGGTGGTATAATACATTTTTAATTAACGCAAAATTGCAGAGACTGCCCAGCATCGCGAAGAGGGATGCTCTGGATGCCCAGATAAAATCTATTTTACGAATTAACTAAATAAAAAATGAGCTTCATCCGGGAACAACGTAAATTCACCGGCAAGACGGGATCCGTTCCAATTCCTCACGCTGAACGAATATCGATTACACCTCACAGCCATTCTTGCTGTGCTCCAGTTTAAATTGTGCGCATAATATTTAGCAGATGCTGAAAAGCCGGTCTCGTACGTATAACAAACGAGCGCGAAAATCCATTCACATGAAAACACATTTAGCCTTACGTGTCCCCTTCTTCGTCCTCATTAAACTCCCTTTATTCCTTCCCCCTTTATTCCCGCGCACATTTTTTAATTTTGGCACACGTATTTCTGCCCCCTGTCTCTCTCTCTCTCTCTATCTCTTTCTCTCGCGCAAACGAAAACGCATTCTGCGTCTTATAACTCCTACGTTTCCTATATTCAAGTTGACGTTGTGTTTTTAAAGAGTTACAACTATCGCAGAAATAACAACCTCCAGAGAGAAGAATTTCCATATATAACTGCGAGGAAAGTAATCTGGTAAGATTACTCGACAAACTTTTCCTCCTAGCTGCCAGGAATAATGAGATCATTCCTTTAACTCTGTCGAAAGAACAAAAGAGCTAGTCGCGCTGTGTAATAAACAAAGCGTGGCAAACTCGGCACACTTTACAACGCGAAAACTTTCTATCAGTTCTTGCGCACAAAATAGTAATGCAAATGCCTGATTATCGCATTGTCCTTGTTATGCTCGAAATAATAATTTCTTAGCAGAGAACGCGCATATTTATTGGGTATCGATCAATGTGTCAAATTGTCAGTCACCAATAAACGCTCATTATCTGAAAAAAATAATTGTTACGATTGTACGATTCTTTATAACGAAACACGTCAGTTTGAAATTATGTTATTCTATTGTTAAATATTATTATCGGCACAGGAATAAATTATTATTACGAATGAGAAGGATAAGAGAAAATTTCTTTAGTTTCTTTTTTTTTTTTTTTTTTTTTCATTTTGAAACACACACGAGCAATATTTCTTTGAAAGATGTTCCGCTTCATCTTCCCGCAAACAATTACACGCGAATGCAGTCGAATAAAATTTATAAAATAATCGCAAACGCTTGCAAGGCGTGTCCCACTTTCCGATACGACGCGGGCGTGGCGAAAAGGAAACGGTCTGTTTCAATGAACAAGTATTGCAGAGCTTACCAAGCACACCAAGACGAAAATTGATAGAGACGACAATAAGGCGTCCGTGAGCAGCCAGGGCGGTTCCGTCAAATAAATTTCCGGCGCCCCACGAATATGAATCGCCATGAATAAGGAGGAGAGCCGGTAGCGAGTCCGCGATACTACCTGCAACATTAGAGAACATTCTACCACATCTCTCT